TACAATTGTCTCGGATGTTGGATGCGCGACGGATTTCGATATATGTCAGGCGAGTCAAATTCTTGTCCCAGCGATCACATCTGTTTCTTTTCAATTACATCCTGGGACCCGCATGTTCGCTCGCAATGGCAAAAACACCATTTTACTTGTTATCGCTACAAGCAAAAGAAATATTTGCTGCATCATTATCGTTGGAGTCTTACAGATGGTCGGGGTTATGATCGCGTAAAATGCCAAAGCTTGCGAAAGACTAATAATCACCAGCAAACCGGCATTAATGCATGTACGAAAACTTCATAGAAAATAATGAGCAACCATAGGCAAATTTTCTACTTAAAAAAACCATAAGAAGTACTAATTATTTGTTAAGAAACTGAAATTTTCCTAATAATCCCTTTGTTCCGGAGACGTAAAATTGTAGATTTTGGCACTGTTTTGAGCAGTACCTGCTTTGCTTCTGTTCTGCTTTATAAAACTACTTTGCCACTGCACAACCCTTCATGACAATGAAACGAACTGCATCGACACAGAAAAAAAACGGGCACGTACACAGTTGCAAGCTGTTGGCTAGTCAAAAGAGTAAACATACACGATTACTCACATATCGCGAGTAGTATATTGACCTGCAAATGGTCTGATCCCTCGAGTTCTAAGAAGCGCTCTCTAGCCATACAAATGGTAGATTGGGATCGTTCGCCGATCCTACGGTCTCTCAGTGCCCTTTGCGATATAAAATCCTTCTAAGATCCAGTTACGGGGAGCCCCGTCTAATAATAGCAACCGTCGGTTAAAACCTCAGGCCAAACAAATGACCAATTTACTGGTGGGTGGAAAATTCCATTTGACATGCCAAAGGCAGCAAGATTGTATATTTCACATGTATAAAAATTAGTGCAAATGGACAAAAACGGGGAAAATGCAGAGACAAAGTATCCTGTCGAGCTATACGGGAGCAGGACAAATACTCAATAAGCTTAAGGTGCAGAAGTCAGCACAAGACCCCCAGGGGGATAACTGTACAATAGCTCCTCTGGGAGGACAGAAACGCACAAACACACAGAAGCTGAGAGTGGATAAGAGCAAGCAGCTAGTCTTCTGAAGACAGCGCTCCTGTCACCGTCCGTGTATCGCCTTGTCTTTTCGGGCTTGCGGAAGAGTCTCCTTCCTCACCCAGATATTGCGATTTTCCGTCTTTAATCTTTTCCGAAATAGACACCGTCGGTGATGAGGGGGAATAGGAGTCAGGGACGCGACGATCTGAACTCTCGTTTTCTAGCTCTATATACTTGTCGTGAGTCCAGCGGCTGTCTTCAAAGGCTCCACCGCCTGGAGGAGGGCGTCTGCGCTGACGCTGCGGAGAACCGTTCTCCATATCTGGACTGTAACGCGAACGATTGAGAGTCCGGTATCTACCACCTACATGAACAAGCAAAATAGGATACGAATTTAAAATGAGAGGACGAAAACCATTTGAAGATCCAACAAAAATCCCACTTTTTACAGCATCCAACGCACCATAGTACTCCTTGTCAGATGTCTGTCGCCAATCATTTCTGGGGTAGTTGGAATGGCCTCGGAATCGACCTCTGAAGGACTGAGCACCGTCACGATCGTCGTGCTATAAACAAGAGATACACATCTAACAAGCAAGCACGAGTGCGCCAGAATGAATCAACAGACAGCAAAAGGGGAGCGACACTCGCAGCGAAGCCTGAAAGCAATTGACCATACAAACAACAGGAGTTCAAGAAGTTTAGTGGAGGCCTGCGAGGGAGGGCAATAGAGGGATTAAGGTAAACTAAACTTGCCAGAAAGTAGGAGGGACCCTTTGGGACATCAGCGGGGCCAACATACACTACAGTAAAGAAAACATAAAACTCTGGCGTCAGGGAAAAGGGTTCAAAGTATCGAAGCAAATCTGCCAAACCAACTTAATAATTAAGTCAGCCTAGTAGTCATTC